CAGGTGGGTCAGTGCCAGGACATCCAGGATTGCCTTGGTTCCAGCAACATGTCTCAGGGAAGAACCAGATAAGCCAGGGCAGAGTTAGGGTCTCTGGACTACCAGGGCTCAGGGCATAGAGGTGGGCTTGGTTCACCCCTGACACCAACCCCAAGGAGAATAAATAAATAAATAGTATATAATTGTGCAGTCCCCTAGCCTGGCTTACCCCTCAACAAGGGGTCACTAGTCATGGTTGACCTCAGTTCCTCTGCCTGTCATCCTCCCAGAAATGGAGGCTGGCTGCCGGTAGGAGTCCTACCCGACCCTGGGGATTGAAAAACCAGGTCTGAGAGTGCCCATACAGTTCAGGTGGCCAGGGCAGGCAAGCGAGTGGAGGTTTGGGCCCAGCCCACAGGTGAGACAAGGTCCTGCCTGTCTCCCCATCCTCTGACACATGGTTCAGTGTAATGAAGCCACATGGGGCCTGGGGGCATTTACCTCCAGGTTGTGTGACACCTCCCCTCTCCCATGCTTTGTTCTTGCTGGCTCTTCCTGGGCCAGCTGCCAGAGGTATGCAGGCACCAGGATGCCTGGAGGAGGGACAGTGGGAGCCCAAGTCCAGCTGGGGCTGATGTCCCCTCCAGGGTGCGACTGGGTGAGGCTGGGCAGGGTGCCCAGCCCAGTCAGAGCTGGAAGGGGTACTGTCGGAGGTAGTCGGCCATGCGCCGGGGCAGTGGCAGGCAGTCCACGTCGGTCACCAGACGGTTGATGACAAGGCGGCACAGGTGTTGCAGGCTGCGGGCACTGCTTCTGCGTACAAAGGGCTGCACCAATTTTAGGTGTACAGCAGTGGCTGGTGGAGGAGCAGGCAGTGCTGGATCATTAGACGCATCTTCCTTAGGCATAGGCAGGGCCGGGGTGGGAGCAGGATCGGGGCTGTCGCTTCGGGTGTCAGCAGCGCAGGAGGCCACATAGTGCTGCACAAGGCTGACCACATCCGGAAAGGCCAGGATGCGTGGCCTGGACAAGCAGTTGGAGTCCAGACGGAAGCTGGAGTCAGCATACTCAATGCGCACATTGGTGGGGCCACGAGCAGTTTTCACTGACAGTGTGAACAGGTAGCTGGGGTGGGTGCTGTCACGTACTAGGAACGTGCCCTCTGGCATCTTCTGCAGGTGTTGCCGGGCCTCGCTGGCCGTAATGGAACCCCAATACCAGCCTAGGCAAGTGCAGAGGGGGACAAGGGACATAGTGGAAATTAGCTGGGGGTACCAATCCAGGGTAAATCAAGGCAGTGCCTCTTGCTTCACACTTCCCTGGAGAGGGCTGTGCCTCTCCCATCAGACTCTCCTGGGCAGGGCTATGCATCACAAATCAGACTCAATGGCAGAACTCAGCTTCTTCTACCAGACCACCCAGGAAAAGGCCTGCCTCCCCCCTCAGACTCACCAGATTCCCGAAGGTAGGAGAAGGTCTTGGCTATGCACAGCAGATCCTCCTCGGGGTCCAGCACCTTTGGCTCACTCTCTATCTGGGCTGGGGTCCCCTCTGCCACCTCCTCCAGGAAGGCCCCAGCAGGCAAGGGCTGCATGACTGTCTCGAGCAGTTCCAGGGACTGGGCCCACAGGGGCCGCTGCCCAGTCCGCTCCACAGCCAGCAAAGGACGAGGTCTAGAAAGCAGTGGATGAGCAGTGAGTGGAGGACCCATGCTTCTCCCATCTCCAGAGACCCTCCTATGCCCCAGACTAGTTGCATGACCTCTGGCTGGCCCATCTCACTATAAGCCTCAGCTTCCCCTCTACCCAGCCATGGGCTCAGTTAGTCCAGTATCTCATTCCCCACTTGTCATCACAAAAGCCCCCTTGTTTCCATGTGGGGAAAGATTTTCCTCTTTTGAAAGATTCTTTTCCACTGCCCTGCACTTACTAAACAGTAATTAATCGCTCTCTATTTTACATCAACCAAAAACACAGATCATTCCCTATAGGCATTTCTAATGTTCTTGCCACACTGATAGGATTCAGTGCAAAGTAGCTTCATGTTTGTGCCCTCCTGGCTGAGGTGGGCTGACTAAGTGGCCCACTGATGAACAGTCCTAGTTGAGCGATAGATCTACGATAGACAGGTAGATTTATCCTACAATAGATCTATGTGGGGTCCTCCAGAGAAGTCCCAGGATTATGGTAGGCTGCCTGAGGTCACATGCTACCTCCCCATGGATAGGAGTGTCTCTCAGAGGGACCTAGGTCCACAATGGCCAGGACATAGAGACTGAAATAATCCCCTACCCATACAAGTCAGCCTATCCTGGCCTCTGCTTCTCCCAGTGGAGGGTCTGGGGTGGACAGTGGCCTCTAAAGGCACTGGCAAGTCTCACCTCCTGTCAGTATGAGCTTCCACCAAATAGCAGGGACCTAGCCCACACTCCAGATCCCACCGTGGCAAGCCAGCCCTATCAGGCTCTATGATCTTGTACAAAGCTTGCTCTTCACTGGGCTTCAGTTTCTCTTTCCCAAAATAAAGGGTCCCACGAACCCATACACTGAGAGGTTCAGTAACACCATATTCTTGGATGGCTGGGGTTGAGGGAACTAAACCGACCAAATTCTGAGTAGGGGGATTTCTCCTAGGGGAAGCCCACCCAGCATGGTGATACTAGGGGCTTCCTCCTTGGGAAAGCAGCAGGGACTGGCTCTACTTCCCCAAGAAGACTGCTGCTCCTCCCTCACTCCTTGCAAAATACATCTCCAAGCCTCAGTTCTGGGTCTAGTCCCTGGCTGGGCCTCAGGACACTGAGATAATGAAACCATGGCCTTGCCCTCAAGGACAACCAGACTGGCTGGGGAAGATGGCACTAAGAGTAATTATAATGCAAAGTCATAAAACTGCAGGTGTTGTGGGGGAGTCAGGGTCTGCTTGCTCCTGAGCTGAGTCTTCCAGGACAAAGAAAGGAGCTGAGGGAAGGGACCTCAGGCAGAGAGGACAGCATGGGCAAACAGCGCCAGTATTGCTTATGAGGCAGGGAGGGGTAGGCAGGAGCCGGTAGCAGGAGCCAGACCTGACTCCTGTGTAGGTTATAGGTGACCCCCTAGGTTCTAATAAATCATGGCCCTATGACCACTCACAGTGAGAAAGGGCCACACAACTCTGGCACACCACAGACTGCTAAAAACTGTTCCACACCTACCCTGGCTGTACTGTGGGAGCTCGGAAATCCCTCTTGGAGAACTGGAGGCCAAATTTTGAGATGACCTGCCTGCTGGGGCCCAGAGTTACCTTCCCAGGGGCATGGTTGGTGGCTAGACAGTCAGGCTGGAACCTCTGTGGGTGGCCATGTCCAGATAGCTTAGCCGGTCCTCAGACAGATTCCACCTGTGGGTGTGGGCACCTCTGGGGCTGACGTGGTAGCTGGGTGTATGAATAGCTGTGTTGATCACCACAAGCTCCTGGTGAGTGACTGTGTACCTGGGCAGGGGTGTGTCCATGGCTGTGTCATCATGGTGGGGACAGTGGCTGGTGTATTCTAGGTACATGTGTGTGCCTGCTTTGGAGCCCAGCAGTCTGTTAAAAACTTTGTTCCCCGACACCCAACACTGGCCCTGAGCTTATAAGGGGGTGCTTAGCTAGGGTAAAAAGTGAAAGAGCCTATAGGACCCCAGAATGCAGGGGGAGGCTTCTGGGGAGGAAGGTAGTGGTGGGGCAGGTGTTCAGGAGTCCCCGAATGCAGACAGGAGGAAGGAACTTGCTGGAGACAGCAAGGGAGAAGTAGTCTTCCCAGCACCTTCATGTCCTCTTCCCTGGCCTCACCTTCCACCCTCCCTCACTTGGCACCAGGCCAGTTGTGATAAGCACAGCCACCCAGTTCTCCCTGAGTGCAGAACACCCATTTATACCTTCTTCTTCTCTCCTTGGAGCTCCCTGAGCTCCTGTCAGATCACCATGGCCAGCATCAGACCCTTTGGTTGAAAGGGTTGCTCCCAAGAGTTGCTGACCATCAGGTGCCAGCCTGAGGAAAGGCAAGGATCTCGGGCTGTCTTCCCAACAAGAGCCTATTTGCTAGCCTAGGGCAGGAGAGGGGACACCAGGACAGAGGGGGCCAGGGGCTGGTCCAAGGTTACTAGCAGGCAGGGCAGCCGGCAGGCTAGTGTAGAGTGCTCTGGGCCCAGAAGAAGATCTGGGATTGTTGGCCACATCTTGGTGGACGCCCTGCCGTTGGCGTCCATCTGCTCCAGTGAGAGCCCAGGCTGAGACCCACCCCGTAAGTTCCTCCTGTAGCCGGCCAGCCCCCGGTTTCCCAATCCACAGTGGGAATTGAGGTGAGTGTGTGGGGGTGGGGAGTAGGAGTGTCACAGCCCCACACAGAGCCTCGCTCCCGAGGTCTGTCCGCGTTCAGTCACCTCTGGCCCGTCAAGCCCTCCCAATGCCCGGCAGCTAGCACATGGCCCCTGTTCTCCCGTGCGCCCCTCTTGGTGGCCGGGCGGGGGCAGAGAGCCGCGCTTACCCCTGAACGCAGAGGACCATGTCCCCGCGGCAGCGGCGACTCCGGAGTAGGGACTCGGCTGGACGGCGGCGGCGGGAGGGAACCAGTGGGCGCGGAGCGCGTGCAGGGTAGGCTCCCGGGGCGCGCGGGCGCAGGGCAGGGACTGAGAGGCAGTGGCGCGGACCGCCTGCGAGGGCAAGGTGGGGCGGGCCGGACGAGCGGGGCGGGGCGAGCTGCTGCCTAATCCTTTGTCTGCCGCGTCCCAGCCCTTCCCGGAAGCGGCGTCTTCCTAGAACCGCAGGCTGAGTGGTGGGGCCCGGGCGGGGTGCGCGGGCGCAGTCGCCGGGTCTGGGGCCCTGGGCAGTGAAAGGAAATACTTTGACAGATTTCCAAGAACTTTCCAGGAAAACGGGGCGGGGCCCTGCGAGCCGACCAATCGCGACGCTGAAGGTGGAGCCGAGCGGTCGGGGAGGGCCAATAGCAGCGCGTGGACCCGGGGCTGACGCTACCCAGCGGGGTAGGACGGAGAGATCAGTAGGGAAAGACCGGGTGGGGAAAGTTAAGGAGGGGCCCGGGCTCAGCAACCCGCGCCCAGACTGCCTTCTGGCATTCTGCGTCGTTGGAGAAGGGCCCTCTTATCTCGCCGTGGAACTCCTGGCAGGGCGGGGGGCGGAGTCCCGGCCTCGTCCTCCCTGCTAGCGACTCCTCCAAGGAGGTCTGTCGGCGTGGGCAAACGCCCGGTGTTGGGACGGCCGCTCCTGGACCCTAGGACTCTGTGTGTCGGGTGTCGGATTGGGTGGCATGGGGTGAGGTCTGGAGCGGGACTTAGGGCAGAGTGGGGTGCAGAGGACGGTTCCAGAAATGAGTGGGTCCACTGGGGTCAAGCTGGCGGTCACCACAGCCAGAAAGATCCAGACAAGAACGTTTTCTTTGAGAGTTGAAGGAGAAAGCACATCCCAACTTTTCAAATTCTGGCCGGCCCGGCCAGTCAGGGGAGAAGAGACTACAGATTGAAGGAAGCAAGCAGAGACAGCCCCAGATGGCCCGGACTCTGGGTTGGTGCCGCCCCCCCCCCCAAAAAAAATGCTGAGAGAGAGAGTCCTGCAGCTCAAAACATTGGGAGATAATCTGGGAGCAGGGTAGTAGAGGTTGGGTCAGGGTGGCAGGGCAGAGTAGTAACACTCACTCTTATCTACAGGGAGTACTTGCTGCATGTGATCCTCTACAACTCGTGTTGCTCCCGTTATGCAGACGGAAGACAGTCCCAGGGAACAAACGCTAGGAAATGGCAGGGTAAGAGCTTGATCCCAGCTCTGAATCAGAAGCCCACACTCCTACCAGGACCCTCTCCACCTGTTTCAGTTCACTGGATTCACTGTGGAGCATCTATGTGGGGTCTGTGTGACTCTCCTCCAAATCCTTGGGCCAGAAGAACTGTGGGATTTGGAGAGGTCGCAGGTCCACTCCTTACTCCCCACCCCTACCCAGTGTGTGCACCAGGGTCCTCAGAAAGGAAGCTAGCTTTGAGATCCTGGGCAGGGATGACAGACCCCTGGCTGTGTTGAAGGGCCTGAACGATAGCGTCTAGGGAAGACAGAGCTCAGCTTGCTCTGCCCAGAATGGCAGAAGGCAAGAGACCTGAAAGCAAAACCCTATGAAACTGGGGGAAAAATGGTTTAAGTTTCAGACTTCAGGGCAGTAACTTCTCTGCAGCTTTCCTAAAGGGAAGCCAGGCTTCATCAGTGCAACTCTGCCAGCCCCCTTCTGAGTTGGTCAGAAGCCAGTTTCTTGGAATGGGGGTAGAGGGGATGGATACCTTATAACCCACCTTGAGGGGTGGGATACCTGGATAGCCTGGTATGGGGCCCCTGTGTGGACCACTGACTTGGCAGTAGGAACTGTCCACTGTCTCATTACTATGAAGACAAAAGGACTTTACAGCTGCCAGGCAACAGAGTTACAATTTTGAACTTGGGTCTCTTATGGGGCCAAATCCCAGGCTCTCTACCAAAACTATACTTCTTACCCCTCACCATGACTATTCAACTGAACACTTACTATGTGCCAAGCACTCTCAGCAATTTGCAGCCTCATGTCATTGTCACAACTACCACATATTATCTCCTCTTTACAGGTGTGGAAACTGAGGCATGGAGAGGTTACAATATACCCTAGATCTCCCAACTGGCAAGTAATGGTTGAAGTCAGGAGCCTACACACTTCCTCCTACTTCCTCCGTGGGTGCTGGTGATCTGCCGACTCCTAGACATCCAGCTTTAAGGTCCTCAGTGAAGCTTCTCTGCCCCCAGGCCTGTCAATGTGAGAGCACCATGGGTGTCCCTTTGAAAGCATCTCCTACAGAGGTCAGTGATTATGCGGTCTATGTGTAAACCAAAGGGTCCCAAGGGTTTTGGCCTTCCAACTAGTTTTGTGCGTGCGTGACTATGACAGCACTGCGCACCTCACCTGCATGCTGGGAATAGTGATGTGCCCCTGTTCTGCCCCAAGTGCCTGCCTCAGGCATTGTGGGTCCCTCTGGCCAACTTAGTACTTAATTCTCCTGCCCTGGCTGCTCCCTAGAAGCCCTGGCTCTGATTGCTGGGCCCACACTGCCACCTAGCGGTGCCACCTCTCATGCCCTCACTAGCCAAATCTCCATGGATTCCTCCCTTCTAGGATACCTTCCCCTGCACTCCAGGGATTGACCTTACTGCAAGATTCCCCTGCCCCTCCCTACCCAGAACAATCACAAGATGAGTCACAAGAATACACAGCAGTGCCTTCCCCAAAGTCTCCCTCATTTGTCCTCTATCCTTTCATCATGTGCAGCCTCCCCTCTCCAGGAAGGACATAATGTGTGTGTGTGTGTGTGTGTGTGTGTGTGTGTGTGTGTAGGATTTAGCCACCTTCACTTTAAGCTATTCCAAAGTCTCTGTCCCCTTGGACACACAGCTATATGAAGGGCTATGTGGCAGAGCCTGCCACCATGAACCCACTCCTGACCAGGCCTAGCCATCCCACATGCCAAATCCTCCCATCATAGTGGAGGGGATGTGGCAGGTGGTTGCTGGAACATGAGCACTAAGGGAAAACCACATATTCTGACTTTCCTGGGCTAAGTGAGTAGTTGCAAGTCATCTCTCTGATGGACCCATGTGGGGAATGCGTGTGCCTATGGAAGCGTGGACACTGGTTATAGGGACTGGGAGGGGAGAAGCAGCACCTTTGCTTACTTTTCATACTTCTGTATAATTTGAATTAATGACAATGAGCAAGTTTTACTTATGCAATTTAAAATTTTAATAAAAAGAGACAAGCTTAAAAATACAATTATAAAATTTTTAGAGCAATTATACTCTAACTCCATTTTAAAGAAACGAGACATCTTCACATAACATTCAGTGAGATGCCTTTGGCTGAGGCAAGGAGCCAGCCTCCACCCTCAGCTGCCTAGCCTTCTACTCATCCAGAATGACATCTTGCTCAGCCTTAGGTTCACCAGGCTCAAACTAGTTGCCTTTACAGAGCAGAGCCTTCTTCGGTGCCCCCAGCAGTAGAAGCTTCCAGATCATAGGGCTTTCTAAGAGGCTCTGAGATCTTGAATCAGATTCTTAGGTTGGGCTCAGGGACATCAGTCCTGGGTCCAGCTGGGCATAAATTCGTGTGTGTGTACACATGTGCATGTGTATCTGTGTGCATGTGTGTTATATGAATGTGTATTTACACATGTATATTATATGCATGTGTATGCACATGTGTAAAGGTGTGACTGCATATGTACATGTGTGAGAGTATGTTTGTACATGTGGCTGTGCGAGGAGCCAGAAAGGACTAGGAGAGGAGGCCATGGTTTGAGGATAAGAGCCTAGCCCTGAGGTTGTGCTTTGGAGTTGGAATGGGGGCTCTGTCATGACAGCTGCTGACCTCAGACAGGTCACCTAACCTCTCTGGGCTTTTCTGTCCTGTGTGTCTGTAGTGTGGGGCGGGAGGGATAGTGTGACCTCCTCCAGTCTCTGTAAGGTCAGGGGGTTCCAGGGAGAGCACCTACCCAGCATCTGGTCTACAAGAAGTGTTCACTATGGCCAGCTGAGGCTATTGTCTGGAGCCTCCTGCTTCACTGAATACTGCTAGCCTGAAGGTCGCCTGAAAGAAATAGGGGCAGAGCCCCCAAACCCGTCTCCACTCAACATCTGCACACAGTGGGTACCCACGAATAAGTTGTAGCATCCTTTCAGTCACTCATTCACTCATTCATTCACAGGACGAGCATCTTTCCAAGAGCTACTTCTCTGATGAGGCTGGACATGCAGCCCAGGGGTCCGTGAGTGTGTGTGTGTTAACCAGTGGGGCTGAGGGGTAGACGCTCACTAGGCCTAAATTCCGACGCCAGGAGTAGGATGGCTGGGAGATGCCTCTGAGTGGGACGGAGGTCCTGGTACCTGCAGTCCTGTAGATGGCCTGTAGATGACAGCAGAGGCCCACGCAGAGCCCCTGCCCCGAGCCGCAACCTTCCCAGTCCCAAGTGAACCAGCTCGCTCAGGTCCCTCAGCTTCCGGATTGGGGGAGTGATGTGCTGTGCGCGAGTAGCTCAGATCTGTCCCAGGAGACAGCCACAGCCACCCTCCCTATGGCTCTAGACAAGTTGTTTTCTCCCCAGGGGCCCCAGTTTCCTCATCTGTGAAATGAGAGCTGTTTAACAGCCGGTATTGGGAAAACTGGCTCAAAATACGTAATGTGGTCTAAGATGGGCTTAACAGAGACTTAAATGTGCAAGGCAAAACTAGAAAGCTAATGGAGAATATCTGTCACTCGGATGCGGGGCAGAGACTTTTTAAACACGACGCCAAAAGCCCAAACCATAAGGTGAAAGGTTGGCGGATCTGACTAAATGGCAACTCGGATTTCTGGTCCCCAGGACGCTGTATATACCAAAGGGAAGCAACGAGTCAAGCGGGAGCTGCACAAAAGGGGGCAGTCGCCAGTGCTGGAGACGCCCAGAGCCACCAGAGGCTAAAGAGTGGCGAATTCAACAACGACGAGATGCCACTTCCCTCAGCATGTTGGCAAAAATTAAAAAGTTGAGTACTCTGAGGGTTGGCCACCACTAGGCAAGTCGGAAGCCTAGCAAGCCATACTGGAGGGCCACTTGGCAGCGTGCAGAGCAAACACCTGACTCAAGGAGAGCTTTCAAGAGAAAGAAGACGTCCTGCGCTGTCACGTTCTAGGTCGCGAATAAAACCCGGGACCCGCACAGTAGCGGACTGCCAGTGCAGGAGCCTCCCTGGGTATCCCTGGAAACCGAGGAAGTTACCGCCCCCTCGGGAAACCACGCCTCCTATTTTGTTCCGGCTCGGGGGCGGGACCCAGTCGAGGCCCGCCTGGCCCTTTAAGGCTGACCTAGCGGGGCCCCAAGTTGGGATGACGCGCAGGGAGCTGGGGGTGGAGGGCGGGGGAGGTCACGTGGGCGCCGGCAGCGCGACTCTCGGCCCTGGGCGCTCCGCGGCCGCCAGCTCCCGCGACCGCCGCCCCTGCCCCTCGCTGGTGCCTCAGCAAGGTGCGTTGCCGCCAGGTACGCCCTCGCCAGGTACGCCTTCCTGGGTCCCCTCTGCGGCCTCCTCCGGGGACCTCGCGGCCATTAGGCGCCCGGCCCCTTCCCTTCTTGACACGTGCCCGGGCGGCGCTCGCTTGTACCCGGCCGCGCGACCACCGCCCCCTGAGGCAAGTCTGTACTCTCTGGCCGTTCGTCCCTCACTCCCAGCTTGCCCCGGGCTAGCAGCCCAGCCCAGTTCAGAGGCTCCAAAGCTGGGGTGTGTTGGAAAAGTCTGGGCTGGACTCACTCTTCCCCTTTCCCCCAGGTGCCAATAGAAGCGCCAGGCTGGGGCCGCCTCTGAGCGCCCCGCGGGGGCCATGGATGGTGAAACAGCAGATGAGCAGGGGGGCCCTGTGCCCCCGTCAGTTGCACCCGGCGGACCCGGCTTGGGCGGTGCTCCGGGGGGGCGGCGGGAGCCCAAGAAGTACGCAGTGACCGACGACTACCAGTTGTCCAAGCAGGTGCTGGGCCTGGGTGTGAACGGCAAGGTGCTGGAGTGCTTCCATCGGCGCACTGGGCAGAAGTGTGCCCTGAAGGTCAGTGAGCCCTCACTGAGGCCTGGGCTATCCTGGAGGGTCCACAGCGGAAGCCTGTGGGTGAAGCTATGTCTAGCGCCCCTGCTAAGCTTCCTATGCTCAGCAACATGTTTCATCCTCATACTCTCCTGTAGGGTCAGGCTCGTGGTCCTCCCTACTTTACAGATGGGGAAACTGAAGTGTAGTCTAGCTAAGCTTTGGGTGTCCCAGTGAGCAAGGGGTGGAGTCAGTATGGCTAGAGCTGCTGTACCCGGAAGCAGGGAAGGGGTGACTCCTGACTCTGGGGTTCTGGCTGGACCCATGTGTTCAGGCCCAAAGGGGGTCTCTTGTTCAGCTTGGCTGCCCCTTCCATGTGAAGCTCCTCTGACTGGAATGGATCTGTTTCCCTTTGCTGGAAGCTGAGCCCTCACCAAGGCTTGGGTGGGGCTGCTTCTTCCCTGTGGCCCCTGCCTGTCTGGGTTGGAGTGGTGTGAGCCTCCCAGGGCTGGCCAGAAGACAAGGCTGATGCCCACTGCACCTGTGGAGTCTCAGGAGGCTTCTGATGGACTCCTGTTGAGTCACTGGTCCCATGTTGAAAGGGACAGGCCCTGGTCCAACCCACCCCTGGTTCCTGGGCAGAGGGCGGGCCAGCCGTCTAACCACCTCAGACTATAGGCTCCCTGGAGACCTGGCATGCTGATATAGGTGGCATGGTGGGGATCAGGGGGATGCAGGGGTTGGGTACCTAGTTCTAGCTTAAGGCATACATCTGGGCCTTGGGCCACACCCCATACCCAGAATCCCTTGAATCTGTCATCTCTGGGGTCTTTACTCATCGGTAGCTTGTGCCAATAGATAGGTAGAGCATGGCAGGGATAGTGGCTCCTGGAGGCTAGAAGTACAGCAAAGGCCCTTCTCAATTTTTTTTTTTTTTTTTTGAGACAGAGTCTGTCGCCCAAGCTGGAGTGCAGTGGCGCAATCTTGGCTCACTGCAAGCTCCGCCTCCCGGGTTCACGCCATTCTCCTGCCTCAGCCTCCTGAGTAGCTGGGACTACAGGCACCCGCCACAGCGCCCGGCTAATTTTTTGTATTTTTAATAGAGACGGGGTTTCACCGTGGTCTCGATCTCCTGACCTTGTGATCCGCCTGCCTCGGCCTCCCAAAGTGCTGGGATTACAGGCTGAGCCACCATGCCCGCCAGCCCTTCTCATTTTACAAGATTTTTTTTTTGTTGTTTTTTTTTTTGAGACTCCGTCTCTCTCTGGAGCTCCGTCTCTGGCTCTGTTGCCAGGCTAGAGTGCAGTGGCACGATCTTGGCTCACTGCAACCTCTACCTCCCAGGTTCAAGTGATTTTCCTGCCTCAGCCTCCCAAGTAGCTGGGACTGCAGGTGTGTGCCACCATGCCCAGCTAATTTTTTGTATTTTTAATAGAGACAGGGTTTCACCATATTGGCCAGAATGGTCTCGATCTCTTGACCTCGTGATCTGTCTGCCTCGGCCTCCCAAAGTGCTGGGATTATAGGTGTGAGCCACTGCACCTGGCCTTTACACAACTTTTAATTATGAGTCCAAGTGCAGAGTCCTCTAGATATGGCTAATAGGTATCCTGTGTTTGCCAGTTTCATGACCTTGGATGATATCCCAGACTCTTGAAGCCAGGTTTCTGCATCTATTCATGGGGAAAGATAAGGAGTTGTTGTGAAGATGAAATGAGATTATACGTTTAAAGCACTTGGTACAGGACCTGATATAGGTCTGGAGAGGTTACAGGACTTATTTAAAGCACAGGATCTTAAAGCATCTGAGCAGGGAGCTGGGCCCAGCTCTCTGTGTCTTTCCCAGGACCACTAGGGCCAACAGAGGAGGTTGTCTCCGAGACTGCCTTTGAGGGGATCATGCGGATGGTTCTAGGAGAGGATCAGGGTTGGGCTGGTGGGGCTGGGCCCCAGGTATAGCTTCTTTGCCCACTAACCCAGCAGTCGAATGGGGTGCGGGAGATTTTCAGAGTCTCAGGAATGGGATTCTCTGAGTCTTTTAGGGAAAAAGTGACTCTTCTGAGGGCAGACGGGGATTCTGAGGGCAGACGGGGATAAGGGGATGAGGAATGAGAGTTTTCATCCCCCTCTGGGCACCATTTAGCCCTTCCACCTGTGCTATGATTGAGGGCAGTCTGGGTGGTGAGGGATTGAGGCCAGAGACCCACTTCTTAATACCAAGGCTTTGGCCCTGTGGGCCAAGACTGAGCTCTGACCAGCCCCTGTGGTGTCCAGATGCTGTGGGTGAGTCAGGGTTGGGGTGGGAGATGAGAATTTGTAGGCCCACACAGTGCCAGTTATAAGTAAGGCTGGACTTAACCCCTTCCCCATAGATGCTATGTCTGATGAGTGACTTGGGGTAACTTCTGACTGCAAGAACTTCCATAGCACCTCATCAGTGCTCTCCTTGTTCTGGACTGGGAATTGGGTCAGGCCTAGAGTGAGTTTCCCTCTGTACCCCTTTATGGGTGAGCATGGCTGGGGCTACTAGCGTGGGACCTTCAGGATCTGGCCCTAAATTGGCGCTCAAAGGGGACATAGATTAGATGTGGCTCCCACTCCAGGACCTTCCTGTTCTTGGTATCCCTAGTGACCAAGCCTAGAAGTCACTACCCAGCTAAGTAGGCATTTACTATCTCCCAATATTGGGCTAAGCACAACCTCTGGTACAGTCATTTTACCTGTCTTGTGAGTGGTAGCTGTGGCCATGAGGAGGAAGGTGGCACTTCCCCACTTATAGCTTCTGCCCATTGCCCAGGAGGGCCAGGACCTGGGGACCTCAGTACATGGGCAGGCCTGGGCCCAGGGAACTTAGCCAGCTCGTGATGGATCACAGTCCTTTCCTTACATCTGCCTAGCCCTCTCCCCCCAGTTGCCCCAGCTCAGCGTAGGCAACAGTTATGGGCTCTGTGTCTTTCTGCCTCCCTGGTGATGTGCCCCAGGTTACCAGGCTGGCCTGTCCTTGTTTTATAACCTGAACTTGTTCAGGCCATCTCTGCCCATTTGTCTCATGCTCATTCTCTTGACTCTGTTGCAGCAAGATGGCAGATAGTGCTTAACAGGAAGCCTGAAACTCAGCAAATACTCATGAAACAGGAAGAGCTGTGGCCACTGTCCCTGTAACTGTTGCTATTCTGTGGAGGCCCTAGAGGAACAGGTCCCTCCCTCCCAGGGAGCTGGGCCTCTTCTGCTTTCCCTTAGCCCCTGACCACCTGCTAGGTTCATCTTGGCCTCAGTCATACTCAGTGGCTCCCTCCCAAGGCTACCTTCTGCTGCCAGTGCAGCCATTCTACTCCATTCTACTCCGAGCACTCATTGCTATCCTCTTGGCAGGAACTGGAGGACTGCCTTTCTTGGAGAGGGTGTATGGGCCAGGCAGTCCTCCAGTGTCTGTTTCTCCTGACCTCTTGCTTGTGCCCTCTCCCAGGCTTAACTAGTTAATTAGTACCCTTCAGCTTTCCCTTTAACTGGGCACAGCCCTGCAGATTTATCACAAATCAGTTACCCCACCACATCCAAGACCCAGTCCCTCAAACTTTATCGTATATGTGAAAATTGGGACCCAAAGTGAGTCACATGGCTTGAAGTGGGGGGTGTAGCAGAGGCCATAATTTTCTCCCCTCCTGATTTCCTGCCCAGCCCTCTTGTGGTTTTTGGCCTCTTGGCAGGCAGAAGTGACCATGGCACTTAGTATCTCTAAATAAAAGCAATAGGCTGGGTGCAGTGGCTCGTGCCTATAATCCCAGCACTTTGGGAGGCTGAGGCAGGAGAATTACTTGAGTCCAGGAGTTTAAGACCAGTCCTGGCAACATAGTAAGACCCCTATCTCTATACAAAATTAAAAAATTAGGGCTGGGTATGATGGCTTATGCCTGTAATCCCAGCACTTTGGGAGGCCAAGGTGGGAGGATCAC